TTAATGAAATATATTTTAAGGACTTAAAAAACTTAAAAACTCTTTTACTTTACTCAATAATTTTATTAGTAGTAATATTGAATTACAATTCAAAGGGAGAAAGAATCCCAAAGCCAGCAGCCTACTATGAAGAGAGGAGGCCCTTATAGGAGCTGGACTGCAGTCTGGTTCCTTTCCAGGGCTGAAGGGCACCCCAGAAACAGGCCAGCATGGGAGCAGAGCAGTAACCTGCCCATGGCCACGTCTAACTGGGCATTAAGTTCCCTTTGCAGTGCACAGCCGTGAAGGACACAGGCCTGGTGAAGGACGTCAGGCTCTGCCAGACTGCACCTCTGGGACCTGTAATAACTTGTCACTTCTCATGGAGCAGCAGGGAGGAGACACAGCAGGGAAACCGCTTGGCCTGGCCTTGCCCCTGTCAGAGCCGGGCTTCAGCCCCCCAACCCAGCAGGTTCCCCAGAGAGAGCAGCAGGGGGGCTCCGCTCCTAGCAACTTTACTACCTGAGCCCCATGAAGGGGGAAGAAAGTTTCAGAGCCTGAGGATGAGAATCTTGGAGGCAAGTTAGTGCCTAAGGGCCTTTAAATAAGTGCCCTTTGAGTGGTTGGACACACAACATCAGTGGTGGCTCATCTACCCCCACCAACCCGCCTCACCCAGCTTCTGGCTCCTTCAGGCCCAAGCAGCCTCCAGAAAACAGAGGAGTAGTGACGTCACTGTATGTCCAGCACTGACCCCCCCCCCAGCCCCACAAAGCTGCATCCAAGCCTCTCCTTCGTTCCTGTTGGGGAACTTGTGTTGGCAGCAGCGTAGTCCAAGAAATCAAGGTACGCCAGACCCCAGGAGGGCTCGTGGCACGAGGCAAACAGACCATGCATCGTTCCCCACCAAGGGTCAGAGGACATTTCACCCCGCTGGCCCACCTACCATCCCTGCAGTGTGCTTCCCAACTTCTCTCTCCTTTGGAGAAGTACCGACACCAGAGGCTCAAGGATCAGGGTTTCCTGTTCCCAGGGTGGCAGCAGGTGGAGCCCAGCCCACCAGTCTGACCGGGGGAGCTCTCCTAACTGACCCATCAGAGGCTGAGAGGCACTGAGAGGAAGGAACCCTCATACTACTCCCATACTATTTCCCACTTGGACATTTTCAAGCATTTCCCATTTCAACCTGAATAACGTTTTCCTCCGTTCTGCCTGGTCTGGACAAACATCATCAATGCTCCCAGCTGTAGGCACCCAGTGGTCCTGATTGCTTCCAACACAGAGAAGCAAAGATAAAACCATGCCTTCCCGAATAAATGAGACCAACGTCCCCCAGTCTGGAAATTCAGGAGGACTCCCCATATGAAGGAGGCAAGGGCCTCTGAGTTGGTTTCCCCAGGACCCTGGGGCTGTCTCATACATCCCTGACAGAGCTGCCTGGAAGACTGGACTGGTGAGACTGTGTGAAGCCCCCATCCACACTGGGGGGCTGACGGCAAACCCACATCCTTCCCTTTTAGGACCCTTAGCATGGGCTGGGGTGTGTAAACAGGGCTTTCTGGAAGGCCTAGAAGTCACAAGGAGCTCGTAATCCCAGATAATCTGGCCCACATGGCATTGCCTCTGCAGTTTCTATTGTCCCCACTGGCAGTGTTTCCCAGGTTCCCAGTTGATAAACACTACTCTCCTGGAGATTTGGATTTATTGACCCAGTCTGGAATGGAACTCAGGACATTAACTTTTTCAACAATTAATCCTGGTTCTTATCATTGTGGACCCTCATAGATTCCACCAGGCTACAGTCTGTCTTCTGCCCACCTAAGGCCACCTTCTGAGGTTCACTTCCTATCTTTAGACCCATTCCTTTCCTATGACCTGCCCTGAAATGGTGCCTCCCTTCCGGGGCCACCCACCGCCCTCCTGGCCTCATTCCTCTGCAAAGCAACCATATAAGAAAACAATAGTCACATCACACCAGGATGTCCCAGAGGCCTCGCCCCGTCCTACTCCCAGATGGAACCTCTCAGGTGGAATCTCTCAGGTGAAATTAGATGACCACATACTTGCTTCCCCTCAGCTCTCATCCTCTGAAAACACGCTTCCCTTGGCCTGTTGCCTTCCTCCTTAGCCTGTAAATTGAAGAAATAGCCAAGGGACTTTGCCTAGTCCAACATTTGCTTTCGTTTCAGTAGAACCTGTTGACTGGGTTAGTCCACTTCACTGACCCCAGGGGAGGATAAAGAATTCACAAGAACAGGTTCTCACGGCATGGAGGCAGTACGGCAACACAGTGTAGCTGGTGTGGGTTGTCCCACCTGAACTTGCAGAGCTCATCATGGTTTTCCACAAGGTGGCTATCACACCTCCCAACACCATAGGAGGGAACTCAGGAATAAGATTTTCTATGCTACTGACGATAACATTTGGGTCTTCAAAAACAGGTAACACACATGGGAAGATGTTCAATATGCTTAGTCACTAGAGAAATGGAAATGAAAACCAGAATGAGACACCATTTCATGCTAACTAGGGTTGCTATAGGCATAATGATGATGGTGATGGTGGTGATGACGATGACAAAATAACAAGTGTGGGTGGGGGTGTGGAAGAATTGGAACTCTCATACACTGCCAGTGGGAATGGAAAAAGGTACAGCCTCTGTGGGCAACAGCTTTCATTTCTTCAAAAACTTAAGGTTAGCATATGGTCTAGCAATTCCATTCCCAAGGTGTACAACCCAAAGAATCAGAACATTAGAAGCTTGTACACGAATGTCCATAGCCGCACTCATCGGAACAGCCAAAAGGAGGGCACAACAGATATCCACCAATGGGTGAACGAATAAACTATGGCATATCCATACAAGGCAGTATCACTCCGCTCTAAAAAGCGATGAAGTACTGATATGTATTATGGTGTGGATGAATCTCAAAACATGAAATACCCAGGAAAGGTAAATCTACAGAGACAGAGCAGACTGGTGGTTGCCAAGGGGTGGGGTGAGGGAGGCGATGGGGAGTGACTGTTTAATGGGTTTTCTTTGGGGGTAAGGAAAATATTTTGGAATCAGATAGAGGAGGTGGTTACACAATGCTGTGAATATACCCAGTGCCACTGAATTGTTCACCTTAAAATGGTTCGTTTTATATTAATTTTGCCTCAATTAAAAAAAAATGTTAACACATACGAAGGAAAAGTCAAGTAACAGTCCACCAGGTAGGTTTTCGGAAGCTGTCACCCTTTGCCAGAACCTTGATAGGCATAGGATGTATCTTCCATGACTAAATAATTTGCCCCAGCTCTGCCACCTGTGACTTCAGTCTGGCAATAAACAGCTTCACCCTGGGGGACCTCTCACAATGCTCCGGCTTCTCCAGGCTCCACCAGGCTCCACCTTGCTGAACACCACGGAGACTGACAGAGGTTGAAGAGACTTCCCTAACCAGAAGGTCAGACTTACGCCTACTGCATTTTAATTTTATTAGCATATAAAGATAAAATACTCAGTGACAAACCCCAGCTCTGAGCCATTGAACCAAGCCAAGCCATCCTTGGTTATTGAGGAGAACTCATAAATGTTTAGAACTAAGTCAGTCTACCTAGAAATTTCAGCTTCATCATTTTATTTATTTTTTATTTATTTTTTTAAAGATTTTATTTATTTATCTGAGATAGAGAGAATGAGA